TTTAAAGAAAATGTGATCTTTGATGTATGTAATGCAAAGTGGTATCCTTTTGCTGAATACCACTGGAAAGTGATCCATGTGTCTCACATTGACTGCTTCATGTTACATGTGGTTTTTTCCAATACCCCCCTTGTTGGGTACTGTTTTTAGGCTGGCTGTCTCTAATAAACTTTTTTTTATTATTATTAAGCTAAGCAACTGTACTTGCTCATAGCATCGAAGAGCATCTCTGCATTGCATCTGAATGAGTCGGCAATGAGTCAGCAATGAGCCATCCTCACAAAACACTGATCTTATTTAAATTTTGCAAGTAGTAAGGGCTCACCTTTTGTTTGATTGTGAAAATCTGAAAAAAGGGATTACTATACGTTAATTTAACCTGGTATGGAAAACCATTGACAGGTGCAATGAAAATATTAACTGTTTCTGTTCAAATGCATTCATTTTCAAGAATAAAAATTGACTGACCTTGACAATATGCCCTTAAAGACAGTTCCTGAAGTAGGAACTGTGAGCTTAGGTAGCCTGGAATCTGAGGTGAGTCTTTTAGATACTGATCCTTTGCTTAACTCCGGTGCATGGTGGTACAAGAGTATTTTAATCCTTTCAAGTTAATAAATCATTTTAAAAAAATCTATGTAGAATTACAGTTTACAGGGAAAAAAATGTATATTGAGTCCTTACCATGCCCCTGTATTTCATTTATTATGCCTCTCGCGCTGCTCAGGAGCACGTAACAGCGTCACCATCGCAAGGGAGTGCGTGATCTAAATGCCGCTGGGGACAGCGGTTCCCCAGGGCTAAGGGGTGCCACTGGCAGACTGCTATTGCTGTTCCTTGCAGAGGATGATGGCTGCGGGTGCTACCCTTTCAGGTCACTCCTTTCCATGTGAGTTGACAAGCTGGCCTGTCAGTGCAAAGCGGCTCCCTGCAAGAGGTTTTACTCATTTTTTTTTAACCACCCTATCAGCAGTTTTGAAAGCTTTCCTGTTCAGCCCTACAACAAAGAAGAGCAAGGCGTATTATTCTCTGTTTCCAACTTCATCTTCCTTATCCCAGCATATCGTGTGCACAACAGATACCTAGTGCAGAGCCCTAGCCTGGCAGCCTGGCAGTGACCAGCCAGTGTTGGTCTTGGATCTGACCTTCCTTTGAATTTGTTCTATCCGACATGGATTTGACCTTGGACTCCTTGCAGAGTCCTGCACGAACTGTGCACAAACTGCAGATTAGGAGCGTGGTTTGTGTATTTAAAGCGTGCAGCTGCGTGGGCGCGTTAGGGGTTTTCTTGTGGAGGTACGGCGCATCTGTACGGCTAGTTTGTGAGTACAAAAACCCAATCTGGCGACTGTTGGCCAACAACTTGTAGCACAGCGCTGTTGGCTGGAAAAAATCACGCTCTCTTAGGCAATCTGCTCTGAGGGAAGTATACAGGTAAAAGGTGTGTCGTCATGTTTGCAGAGCTAAACAGCAGCTTGCCTCAGGAGACGACCTGTGTGAGGAGGCCTAGGTTCTGTCCTGTAGACAAGTGTTTGTCGCCTTCCTCCTCTGTCTTTGTTATCAATAGCTTTATGATTTTTCACATGATTTTCATGGTGATGGCAACAGTGGTTAAATCAGTCTGTGACCGAAGTTGTCTTCCAAATGCACGTCTCTTCAGTTCTTGTTCTCTAGCGGCATGTGGCGAGTACTGCAGTGTATATCCTGCCCTTTACACCCACGTCTGGTTTGGTTAGACCTCATTTCTTCCTTGCACTCTGGAGCTTTAAAGAGGGATGGGGGGGGAGAGGAGAGTGTGTGTATGTATGTGTGTATATATGTAGTACAGCCTGTCCAGTCCTTGGTATGAGTCTGCTGTCTCCCTGGATTGACTTGTGACAGCCCAGCTTTGAAGCTGCCTTTCTCACCAGTTTTGTTACGCAAGTTAAGCAATGCAGGAAAAGTGTCATCTTTCACAAGAGAACGTTATTCCTCCACCCTCTGCAAACCTACTGCTATGCTTGTGGAGTTTAATTTGGCATTAAATTACACCGAATTCACTGTCCGCCTTACAGTCTTCACTAGCAAACCTCTGGGCTGGGGGCAGCACGTCCCTCCGCTGCTCCGTACTAGGCAGCAGTAGGGCAGCCGGCTCCATCCCCCGGCACGGCTCTGCAGCATCCCGCGCAAGAGGGGTGGGCAGCCAGGAGGTTTATTTGGAGAGCCCGAGAATAAGGACTCAAGGCAAGCCCAGACCTGCCTGGGCCGGCATAGCTTTCCCTCCTCTTTAACAGCGCGGGGGCAGAGGTGTGACGTTTCCCCGTAAGGAGCAGGCTAGTGGTGGGGCTGGGAAAGGGCTCCAGTGTCAGGCACCCAAATGGGACGCCGGAAACCGAGAGGGGCCGGTGGGAAGGGCATCGCTCCCTGTATTTAAGGCTAACAATAAACCCCCTCTCAGGGTCATTCGGAGCGACTGAAGGGAGAGGAAGAATAATTTAAAACCTAATCCCTGCTGAGGCGGGGGGAGGGAAGGGTTGTTGTAATATTTAAACATTATTGCAGGAAAATTCTATATGGCCCAGAAAAGAAAAGGCTTAAAAAGATTTAGCTGCTTAATCCTACTTGTCTGCTGTTAGAGCTTCTCTAGGCTTCCTGGCGTGATTCGATGTGCCGGCAGGAGGCACAGGCCCCAGCCAGCTCTTTTTTTTTTCCCCCCCCCTATAAACAGCTAATAATCTTCACTTTTGTATGCCAAAAATGTTCAAGTAGTCTTGATTAATAATCTGGGGAATGATCTGCGTACTTTCCCAAACGGAGTACAGGGCTGGAATTAGCTGAAGATGCTCTAACAATGGTGCATTACTTGTAACTATTCTGTGGGCTGTATTCTGCCTTCACCTCCGGGGAGACATGTTCCCTCAAAGCAAGCCGGCAGCAATTCTTAAATCTTTCAGTAACTGCAAGAAAGGAATCAAACCTTGGCCTAGAAATCAGAATATGAGACATCAATTGAAACAGAGTTAAATGCTAAAGATCATATAAAATCGAATTGCCAATGTGTTATTAGCATTCTGTTATGTGATATGTAAGCAATTAAAATTTGCAATAAATAGAAGATATCTGGAGACAGATAGCTAAAGTTATTTTTACTTCCACTACCCTCTTACGTGAGCTCTTTGAGGGGGTAGTTTTTTCTGCTACATTTCTACTTGCCAAGATTATCAAAATGTAATTTTTTCCCCCTCAGTTGATCTCATCAGGCATTAGCTATTATTTTTGAAAAATGCGATGACTTGCTAAAGTCTGTATATTTTGAGAACTTCTGGTGAGGTGCAAAGACGCTTATGTCAGTAATGTATTCCTCAGAGAAGGTATAAACGTTTGCTCCTCGGACACCTCTTGGTCTCTTTCACTTAGGTACTAAGAGACTTGAGGTTGCTTTGCTTTTTTTAAAAAAACAAAAACAAAAAACTAGCAATCTTGCATACGGTATGGGACGATGAAGCGCTGCACCATAATTACCTGCAGACCCCGAGGCCTTTCTCTTGCATTGTACTTGTTGTCTTGATGCTGTTTGAAAGATGGGAAGGGACTTCAGCCATAGAAACTTTAGGTCCCGTGTTTTAGGCCTTTTGACCCAGACAGTTAGCCAAAATGTCGTCTTTGATTTCCTCTTGCAGGCAGAGCCTTGCTCGCATGTGGTGCCTGACACCGGCGCGCCGCACCAGTGGGCTTCACGTTCTCGCCCGCTTTGGGTTCGCTCTTTAACTTCTGAGCACAGGAGAGGGGCGGGAGTGACTTAATGAAGCAGCTAAAAGGCTATGTGCTTAGGGTTGCTTTTTTTTAGGATTTTTTTCACGATATTTAGAAACTTGTTTATAAACACGACCGCAATCAGTAATATCACTTTGAAGATGTAGCCTTTGTGGGCCTTAAGATGCTTATTTTTAAGGTTTTATGGAATGCTTTATACAATGTCTTTTCAGCTTTCTTCTGTAAATGATGTATTGATTTATTCTCTGCACCAGTTGAACTTTTTGGTTTCAAGGATTTGATGGAATTTTATGATATTATCAGGAGTTGTACGGTCATTTAAGATTGTAAATTCTCTGGGACAGAGCTTGCTTGTGCTGTGTTTTGTGCAGTATCTGGCATAAAGGAGCTTGGACACTTGGGAACTTCAAGGTTACTAGATTTCAAATCAAGTTACCAAGTGGCTACTTTCATTTAGTAGCTTAAGATGAGAAAAATTGAACTGGACATAAATGAAGATGTAGCAAAAATGCAATTTTTCTCTGCTATTTAGAAACCCGATATGATGAAAATATATATTGGAAAAAGAAAAAAAGCAAGGAGCAAGGTGAAGGTCAGCAACATGATTAATCCCAGGGATCTTAATATTGTTTATATCCTTTAAACATAGGTGCACCTATATTGTGGTGCTTACTATCATAACAGCAGGGTTCTCAGCGGTAATTCCAGCTATAGAAGTACCAAGAAAACCAAAAACCTCACAAAAGAAAGGAAAACTGCTTGAAGTTGTTACTCAGCCTACATCATCATATTTTGTTGGTCTGTACAGACACCGTTTTTAGCAAACCTTAGCAAATAAAGGCGTCGCTGGGTGAATAAGTAAAATGATTTACCTAGTAGTGGCGTCAACATTGCGCATCCCAAAGTAGGCTGGTAGAAAGGGGAGGAGGCTTTGAGAGGAAAACCTTCAGCATGGTCCGCAGCCGATGCTGCCTGACAGAGGGCGGCACGTGGCTTCTCACCTGAGATCGCGGCAGGGGGCGACACGTTTCCATCGGGGTCGTGGTCCCTTTGGCGCGGGCTGGCCTCCCATCCGCCACGCGGCTTTCCCGGGAGGAAACGGGCCACCGGCTAGCGCAGGCGTTTATTGCAGCGTGCAAGTTCACGCCTTCACCTCTCCCGTTGCGGATGCAGCAGACGTTCTCCAGGCTTTGTCTCCTGATCTTTTTTCCCCTCACGCTGTGGCTTGTTTCTCGCTGTCTTTCCAGCCGCTGGGCCAGCCGCAGCACGACGGCGCAGCGGAGGAAAGACCGCCTGCGGCAGCACTCGGAGCACATCGGGCTGGACAACGACCTGAGGGAGGTAGGTGGCAGCACCGCAGGCGGCACCGGCTTTTGTCCAGGAGCCTGCGTTTAAACAAACGATGCTTTAGCACTTCCAGCGATTTTGTTGTTACCAGAAAGGTGTCCGTGGGTCTCTGCAGGCATTTAAACAGTTTGTCGCAGATGCTTGTATATGCTGTGCAGCTTCAGAACACGCAATATAAATAAAATAGCTGTGTTACTGTGTAGTAAGAGAGCCCCTTTGCTGCCAGGAAAGTGGCATATCTGCCGAGTTAGACCCCAGGGCTGAAACTGCACGAAGACAGCAGAGCCCTGGCCCCCGCGTAGCTGCAGCTGCAGACCTGGCCAGTGTGACGGTCCTGGGAAAGGCGAGTATCTGAATAACCGTCAGCCGTTTACAGGTGACTGAGGCAGCACTCTCTCTTTTTTGAGGGTTTTTGGTTTGGGCTTTAATGTAGGTTACTGACAAAGGTAAGCCTGCCTTAAGAGTTTGGGGCCCTTTCATGCCTAAAGCTTGGAGACTCCCACGCATCCTGTGAAAGTCAGTCACGTACGTGCGTTTCTTTCCTAGCTTTTCAGTTTCTTGTCCTTCATTTAAGTATTTTCTGCCATATTTTTTCATCGATGTCCATGTGCTTTTTCTGTATGGCGCTAGCAAAAATACAACATTCGTGCTGTTTTGTGGTAAATCTTGCTGAATAATTTTGACCAGGGTCGTCGTTTTCAGTTCAAAAGAACTGGAACGCCTAAGCGTGCTCTTGAATCACAGCTTCAGACGACGTTTCGTGGAAACGCAGCAAAACAGCCTTTGTAAATGTCTGTTGTTATTTTTGTTAACAGGACGTTGCAAGTGAGTCTTAAACTTTGCCTTGCGAGTACTTCAGCAGAGCCTTTTCGATGCTTTGTCATGTATTTACTTTCTTCTCTCGGGCTGTGGATCATATGCATGCTTCTTTTGCTTTGTCTCCTCTTTCTTCCTGGCCATTCGGCCGTCGGGGTATCTGCCCCCTCTTAGCCATCGGAGGAGCTTTTGCTTCGCCAGAACTCAATGGCCTTCTGGGAGTGGGATCAGGGGCCACCCCCTCCTGCACGGCCTCCCAAAAAATCCTTCTCTGAATGCTGCCTGGTATGTTTTGGTTTTTCTTGTCGAAAGCTGCTTTTGCGGTGTTGCTAGCGTAAGGAACTGCTGCCGTGGGCACGTCTCGAACCTCTCCCCCTCCTCGTAGAGCGCGAGCACCTCCCTGTAGAGATCGGAAGTGTGGTTATAATCGGAAAAGTAATGGGAAATCGGCTCTCAGGTGTCCGCGCCAGCTCCCCGGCAAACGGGACAGTTCTGAGACTGAAAGGCGAGAATTTTGCTTTGTTTCCTTTTTCCCCGTGTTGGTGGCTGGCAATTCAGCCTCGGATGCCAAATCCCCAAAGCATGGCTTTCTGACTGCTGAATTTTCTCAGCCCAGCGTGGGGGAAGGTGCCAGCGGTGAACAGACAGATAATATGGTTTTCTCATACCACGTTCATTCTTCTGCTGAAGTTCTCAGAGTGAACTATATTCATTTTTTTTAGTATAATAACAAGGCGTACGATGAATGAAGTAAGGTTATCGTTTTTTGCACTCTTCAGACTATAACCACACTTTGCATTTTCTTTATCCCTTCCTTTTAAAAAGAAATATTAGATTTCCTAAGTAGTTGTTCCTAGCATTACTTTTTCACCTTTTTTAATTGCTAATTTGTGCACTAAGTTAGATGAAAGTCACTTGCGAGGTTACTTATTGAACAGCACGCTTTTACCAGCTGCGATTTTTATTTCTGTATACAGTAGCTTTTCAACTATTTTTAAGTCCTTACAGTATCAATGAAGTTGTAATTACTTCACTGAGCACTTACTAACTAGTTGAACACAGTTTTCCCTCTGTCAGAATCTTGCATTCCTGTTTGACCTCTTGAACTGATGTTAAGTTGCTCCCGTCCAAATTTGGTAACCCAAAAAGCCAAATGAATCCAAACATCTACGCTTCCATTACTAAAAATTGTTGAATAATTGCAGTTGAATAATTCAGCGTGATTGGATTTTACTTTTGCTAAAGAAATGATTTTCTCCCCAAATAGAAAGCTCCGTCACAGCACACTGCTCCTTCCTCAGAAACCCCACCTGAACAGCAGCACTAAGTGCCTGGCGGGGTCTGATCCGTTCCTCCTGGGCAGAACAGGGCTTGCCCCATAACGTCCCTCCAAAGAGGCAGCATTCATTGGATGAAAGCATACGGGCAAAATCACAGGGCTTGCAGGAAAACAGAGAATTCCAGCAGCCGAATATGAGCACTGTGGTTTTTTGAAGTCTGTTCTATTCAGCAACATTGTATTTACTCTTTTTAACAAAAACTTTATCAATAATGTTTGGGCAACTTTTTGATAGCCTTCACATTTGCACACCTAAATGTGGCCAACTTCTTAGCTTTGCTGAGCACGTAGACCTCTTACTGATGTTTGGGGTAGCTGACGCTTGTTGAAGGATTTGGGTTTTTTGCTTAACACTCCCCTCCCTCCAAAGTAGTGGAACAGGAAGGTTTAAAAGGCTTTGGTTAGTTTAGTTCTTTTTTTAAACAGCATAGCCATTTTTTTTGTCCATACTTCTCAATTTTCGTACTTCTAATTTTTCATACTACTCATTTTTTTCCACGCTTCTCAACAACCACTCCACAGTAAAAACATGAGTGATCCTACAGATCAGTTTTGTTTAAAATAAGCTTAATTTATAATTAAGTGTTGAGATAAAGACAAGTCTGGTTTTTTCCACGTAAACTATCCAGATGAAGGTCCATTGAAAGGTAACGCATGAAATCTTCCTTCTACACTAGGTGTAGTTCTGCTTTTTCTAATTTCTTTAAAAAGGATGTTTCCACTCATGTATAGTCTGGTCAACAATTAGACAAATGGCTTTTAATTCTTTTTTTTTTCTTTTTTTTTTTTTTTTGCTAGTGAAAATCAAATAGCAATGGAAAGACACTTTAATTGGTGTTTTGACTTTAATGCTGAATGAGGGCATCACGTTTTTATGCACTTCCTTCAGCTAGCTTTGTGCTAGTGGTTAACAGCAGAGTTCACTAGCTAACGTTGACAGTTTTGCTACCACACAGGAAAATATCTTACTTTTTCTGCTGTCATAAAAGAGTATTCCACTTATCCAACACTTAAGCATCAGGCAAATCACAATGTTGTTCCTGGATTAACAGTAGCTCATTCCTTTTTGCTAGCATTTGCTTGCCTAGGATTAGCATGAGGAGCATCCCTGTGACTTGTAATATCTAAAATAATTCTCTTTATTTTTAGAAATACATGCAGGAGGCAAGGAGTTTAGGAAAAAATTTAAGGCAGCCCAAACTCTCAGACCTCTCTCCAGCTGTGATTGCGCAGACCAACTGCAAATTTGTGGAAGGGTTACTGAAGGAATGTCGCATGAAGGTACCTTCTCCCCCTCCCTTGTGCATGCTCTCTCGTTGCTTAAGCTGAATGTAAGTAGCAGCTGTAAACTGTGTCCTGAAACTCCTTCACAGCTGGAGCAGCGTTGGTCTGTTGGTATCCCACACTATTACAGAGTAGATACTCCTTTGTGTTATAATTTCCAACTGCTAGAAAATAAGAATATATATACTATTACCCTTCTGTTTATGCAGTCAAGTTGATGGAAAGAGTAAAAAGGACAGGAAGGTGAATCAACACAATCAGGCATCTCAGGGAGGATTTCCTTTAATTGTTCGCATTTAAATGTAGCCAAAATATTCTGGACTCGAGACCTTCTGACAAAAAGGAAGCATTCAGCGTATGTGATGCTTATGCATGTTGTTAATGCAGAGCAGATGAAGTATCGCCATTCTTAATGTTAAAGAAGTTTTGGTAACCGCAGAAACATAATTTCAGTGTGTCTTGGTGTCAGTTGCAGCTGGTGAAATACTCTCTTACCTGTGTTTTAAAGTTTAATAGCTGTAACCTAAGCATAGTGACACTGGATGAGGCTAAAAATGTGTCTAACTTGTTATTCTGTCTTTGATACAGGTCAGTATCAGATAAAGCTATGGAAATAGGACATTGTGGAGTATTAATACAAACTTTTTTTATTATTTTTTTGATGTACAATCTCTGTAGAAAGATTTGTTTTTTCTGTAGCCAGACCATTAAAGAATATCTCTAGATTACCTTCCCTAAGCATGTTTAAGTAAATTCAATGTATAAGTTCTGTTCTTTGTGGGATGCCACCCTTAGAAACCTTTTGGGATTTTTTAGACTAAACGCATGTTGGTAGAGAAGATGGGCCATGAAGCAGTGGAGCTCGGACATGGAGAGGCCAACATAACAGGTCTGGAGGAAAATACGTTAATTGCTAGTCTCTGTGATCTGCTAGAAAGAATCTGGAGCCACGGTCTGCAGGTCAAGCAGGTTTGTAACTGAGACTTTGTAAATACAATACCCTTTAGCAAATACGCAATGACGTTTGTACCTTTTAAGCTGCAGCTTAAGCAATAATTTCAACATAACATGAGAGGGATCTCTGGGCTCAGAGAGCCTGGTTCATATCGTGTGAATTTTTGGAGAGGCACCTCACAATGTTGTCAAATAGATTCTTGGTTTCTTCTCTTTCAGCCTCCAGAAGGGAGACCTGGGGAGAGGACTGAAAGAAATAAGGCAGGCAGCGTGCCTGCAAGCTCAGTGGGGCCGTCTTCCCACTTTTGCAGGTCTCCTGGCCCAAGAGAAAAGGAATGACCCAACTTCTGGCCCCAAAAATGCCAGGCCATCCCATTGTCTTGCCTTGCTCACTGGGCTTTCTTTTTCCTGATTTATTTAAATCTACTTACTACATATATTCAATTTTCAGGGGAAATCGGCTTTGTGGTCCCATTTACTTCAGTTCCAGGAGAGAGAAGAGAAGCAAGAGCATAGTGCAGAGTCCCCAGGTGGGTACTTGGCAATTCTCTCCATGTGGGATCCCAATGCAACAAATGAGGTTAGGTCTGGTAGGAACAGTGCAGCCATGTAAAATCCATGCAGTACTTTCAATGTATTTGTTTGCTAATATCACATTTAAATTTTGAGACCTTTCAAAATCATTGTGAAGTTCCCTGGACATCGTTGGAGGCAAATGGACGTACTTATTATCCCTGTCTGGAAAATCACTTCCTGTCTATTCACTGCATTTATTCCCTTTTAACCCACCCTAAGCATTAAGTGAGGTGTGAGAAGTAGTGCTTCTGTAGATTATTTCTGGAATAGTTTAAGTCTGGAGCCATGGCTGAGACAGCTGATGTTTTTTTTTTCAGTGATCGTAATGTATCTCAAAACCCTATGTGAATAAATCCATCTTCAATAAATCTCTGTACTAGTGGACGGTACGGTTTAGAAGTTGTGTAATTAATCTCTATCCACTGGTCGTAGACTCTCAGTGTTGCTTTCATGTGGCCGTTTACAGTCACTAAATTACCTCCCTGTTGTGAGAGAGGTCGGTTTTCTGGTGACCTTAAGATCTCGCTGCCCAGCGGCTGCTGCTGAACATTGCAGTAAAAGTCTCTGAACTTAGCAGGTCATCTCCCAGTGACTGTGCCTCCTCCAAGTAGCAGATCCAGCTGGATACTTCACAATAATGATATTAATCTCCTCATAGCAATAGTTATTTAATTACAGAGTGCCTTTTGGATTAGGCATTCCACAAAAAGCTTAAAAACTGAAGTATGTGTTCAGCGCAAGAGTGAGCCCATCCTGACCCTCACTAGTTGGCTAATCGAGAACAGCCATTTGGAAGGGGATTGAATGTCAACGTTCAGCTTTCTTCGAAATCCTTCAAATCCTACTGATGGGAACATGTATGCTCAGTCCTAAAAAACACATCTGGGGATAAACTAGTCTCAATTATTAAAAGGCCTTTAATAAGCTTCGATGAGTAATGCGCTAAGCAATGTGACTGACAGGCACAAATTCCTGAGAGCAAAACGTGTCACCACAAAGCAGTTTGATCCTGATACCAGAGGACAGAAATGCTCGAGATTCTTGGCATCTGCTGTGCTACTATAGCTTCTTTAAATTTATCATGCCCTTCTCAGCTGTGTTTTCCGTAAGAACATGGTGTTTAATAAAACTCTTCACTATATATCTCTGTTTGTCTCTATGTATTTATTTGAATGTATTTCACATACAAAAAAGGAAGCTTTTAAATCTCCAGTTTCAGTGCTGGATTAAGGAAAGAATGGGTAGTCAGGTAACGTCATTTTGTCAGCGTCCGTGTTCCAGGATTGTGTTAATGATAACGCAGAGAAACATTGCAGTTCTCAGTGACTTAAGATTTTCAGTTTTACATTAAAAAATGCATTGCAGACCATTAATATAATTTCATATTAACTTCATATATTTTCTCCACTACAGTGGCTGTTGGAACTGAAAGAAGAAAGTCTGATACAGGAATTACTCTGCCTACTTTGAGGGTTTCCCTGATACAAGATATGAGGTACATAATTTAGTTCTGAAAGCGTTAATTGTTTTAATTGGGTAGCATCAGGTAAAGATCCTCACTTTGGGTTTGCAAAGACAAATCCATCATCCTCAGGGTTGCGTTCAAATCTAGAGAGTGTTGCCTTTTTATTTCACAAAATGTCTCATGTATTTACTTGATTTATTTTAGCTAAAAGACAAGGAAAAATGCACTGCTTTTCTTGGTTCTGTTTCTGTTTACCCCAGGGAGTTTCTTCTGATGATAAAGCTAACGTCTACAGATAAAGCTTTAGCAGATGTGTCGAATTACTTGGTGCCCTCTGCATTTGTTTCTTCTTGTTTGCTTTTATTTGAGCAAACAAGTATAGTTGATAGACAAAGCAAAGGGACATAAAAATCTGCTAGCAATGTCTGAGCAATATTCTTCTTTTCAGTTAGTATCCCATGACAAATAGTAACGGGCTGTGCAAATTTATAAATGTGAGTAAACCCTTGAAAAATACAGCAAGAAAACAATTTGTGGACTTGAGTGAATTATCATTCCTGAATTTTATACTAACATTTTTAATTTAGAGTGAAATAAAAAAAATGCTAAAAACCATACCCACTTTGTTTTTAAGACCCAGCATAATAGTTACTGGATCATTGGTTTATTGCACAGTTAATGGCATATATTACAGGATCAGCTGAAAGCTGTTAATGCTAATAGCACCCATCTATCAATCTGTCTTGCTGGAAGAGAAACCCGAACCGCCTGATCATCGAGGTGTAGCCGTGAGCAGGGCGGGTGGGAAACGGCCCAAGCGGTCTGTGCCGCGCGGTGAACTCCATGTACAGCAGTGGCTGCTGGCTGTGGGTAGGCAGCTGGCAATCTTTGCTCTAAGCAGGTTTCACCGCTGAGCTGAAAAGGAAAGCCTTTGTGGTAAGGACTGAGATTCCCTGGTCGTTTCTTGGGTCAGGAGGAGCGCATCGCTCGGCCTTCTGGACGGAAGGAAACTTTGATTTTCCTTTAATTGGTGTAGAGACATCGGATGCTTTTCAAAGACAGTGCTCCCTGGCCTCTCTGCTGTCAAACATCTTAGTATTTCACGACATTTAAAGTTGGATTATAAAATACTTAAAGCGCTCTGTAGGGGACCGCAGTCTAGCTTCAGGGAGTGTGTTATGTAGTTTTATTCGGAAACCTGGCTGACTGAGGAGTAAGAAGGGTTGGGGGCTGACGGGTTGGGGGCTGACGGGACGGTGCCAGACAGTCGTCCTTGAGGGCAGCTCCTCGGTCAAGCACTGCCAGATCCAGCCACCGTTGTGATACTTCGCTTGCCGTGGCCAAGCGGTTCGGCAGGGCTGAAGCTCTGTAGACACGAAGGAAGGAATAACGCGATACTGCTCATCTGTGCAGAGCTGCTAGCAATTTAATGTGTGAGGAGACAACACTCTTGTTCCTTGTACTGCCACTTGCCTCTTCCACGTGAAAATAAGGCACAGTTAAGAAATTAATTGTGGTTAGCTCGCAAAAACATGGGTAACAATGATGTGACTTAACCGTGTGCCTAATCACCAGTTTTTTTCAGATGTGACAGCACATAGATTAGTCAGACTTTTCTGAAAGAAAATGACTTTTCTTCCCACCTGTAGCGTGCAACTAATTTGTTTTATGTAACGTAGGTTAAGAATCTCGCGCTCTGTTTCCAAAGAATATGACGTGCCACGTAGGGCTAAAAAGGAGGCACAAAGGAGGAGGGAATAGGAGGGAGACTATATGCAGCGTAATTAGGAATATAATGTCAAGAGGTCATTTTGAGCATGTGTCTGCCATTTCAGTCTCTCTCGTGGGGCATGGCAGCTATTTATTTAACTGTAGCCCGTGAAGCCGACAGGCCTGTAGAGGGCCAGTTAGGGGAAAGGCTGCAGAAGGATATGGAGCCGAAGCTTGCGTGCGGTGCCAAGGGAGGGAGGCCGTTCCTGTTGCAGGAAGACAGACGTGCTCATTGGGGCAGGCGAGCTTTTGGGCTCCCGAGCCGTTGCAGAGACCGCTAAAGAAAGTCCGATGCGAATTTGAGCTTTGTCGCTTGAATCACAAGACTGAGTTTGCCACTTTTCAGGGGGAAAAAAGTACAGAGACAGAACGCTACCTTTGTAATCTCTCGTGTATTTGTGACTGTGTGCAAACGTGTCTGGTCGTATCCGATCCCAGACAGATGGTGAGTTGAATTTGTCATACGTAATCCCACAGCATACTTTCTCCTGCTTGGAATGAATGCCGTTGAATGTTTGCGCACACACATATATGCTGAAGTTAGGAGGGCTAGTTGTTAAATTGCCGGGGTCGTGGTGCTAACTGAGCTAGTGGCTAGAGGACTAAGCGTTGCCTTAAGGCCAGCTTGTTTTTGATGGCTCACGCAAAGTGGTAGGAACAACTTAAAACGCAGGGCTGAATCACAGTCATGCTCTGAATGTGTGACGAGCCTATGCTATATGTAACGTTGTGTGTCCTCCGTCTCCCTCGCGAAACCATGCATCTTAGGTGTAGTAAGGAAAATGTTTGAGAGGTTTATTTTGGTTCTTGCGCGGACAGTCACTGCACAAGCGTGGCTGGAGCTATGCCTGGTAGGAACAACTTAAAACGCAGGGCTGAATCACAGTCATGCTCTGAATGTGTGACGAGCCTATGCTATATGTAACGTTGTGTGTCCTCCGTCTCCCTCGCGAAACCATGCATCTTAGGTGTAGTAAGGAAAATGTTTGAGAGGTTTATTTTGGTTCTTGCGCGGACAGTCACTGCACAAGCGTGGCTGGAGCTATGCCCTCTTTCCCCTTGGTGGGGATCGCCGTAGCGCGCTCTTCTGGCGTCAGCAGGCTCCTGCTGCAGCCGTGGCCTCCCCTCGGGGCCGGTTGCTGCACGCCCGGCTGCACGGGCAGCAGGCATGCAATGCACGGGAGCCCTTGGTCCAGCTGGGCCTGGGTTTCAGGTCCTCCCTCTTCAGGCAAGCCCGTGCTTCCCGTGCTGGCTCTTGTGCCCATCGGCGGGGGGGCTGTCCCAGCTGCCCCACAGCTGCGTGAGCCTGCGCAAGGCGCTCTCTCTTTTCCTTCCCACCCTTGGGGGTGTTTTGGCTTGAACTCTGCCTCTCGAGAGCTGTGCTCTACGAATGCGAGCGAGTGCTTGGGATGTTGGCACCCTAAAGGAACTGGAGCCCCTCAGTGTCGCTATCAGTAGATTTTCAGCAGGGCTACGGACAGATTTTTCCCGCAGCCGCATCCCTACCCTCGGAAGTGCTAATTTAACCTGTTGCAGTCAGAAGAAGCTGGGTTATTGGAGACCGGCTGCCTCCGCGCTGTGAGCTAATCAGGCTCGCTTTTGCCTGCGCTGGGAACAGGAGCGTTCATCCGATCCTCGGGGGCACGGTGATACTGAGCAGTGGTAACCTCCTCTCTTAGCACAGCTGTTTGCAAAGGGTATGCCTCGCCATACCTCAGGCTTGCATTTGACAGGGAAAATAGATTTTTCTTTATTACTAATGGGATTAAAAGCTACTCCCAACCTAGGGGGTTGCATGGAAATTGCCTTTCAGTGTTCTGACAAAAAAAATTTGCTGTGCAGTGGCGAGTGCGCAGTACTTGCAGTTAGGTCACTGCCAAAAGCAGAGCTGTTCTGACTCTCGCAACGGAGAATGAAATAAATGTGAGTTCCTGAATGTTCTGTTAAGCTGCCTTTGCTGACACCGAGATTGATTACTGAACCTTTTTAATGTTGCTGTCAAGCTGCATGGTTACAGAGCCTTATTTTTCCCAAATGCTCAGTTTATGCAAATATGGTCTGAACCAGAAACAGGTAATGAAGACGTACAGAGCATGCCTGGAATAAGGTGTGGGTCCATCTGTAGTTGAATCCGCTCGCAGGAAAATAACACAGTCTACTTGCTTTTTATATTAGATGTAATTTGAGCCAAGCACTGCGGGGAGATCCTATGCTTTGATCTTCCCATCTCAAAGTCTTTGCATGTCTAAAGTGTCTCAGCATGATGTAGTTGAGTAAAGTGCACATCCTATTTCTCGAGGACCTCTGATCACATGCCCGGTAGTCTGTGCTGGCAGGTCTAACACTCGCTGTCGTGCTCTGGGCCAGGAAGGGGGTTGCTTCACAAAGTGCTTTCCTGTGCCAGCAGCGAGGATCTGTGCAGTGATTCAGCCAGTAGGCATCTCTGCTAAAGAGAGGCATCATGCTGAACTTGCTTATAAAGGGCAAAGACCTGTATGTGTGAGTGTAACGTGCCCTTCTGGTGCCCTTTTTGCAGTTCACTGAGAATGAGTGCTTCTCATCTGTTCCATCAGATAGCTATCCGCACATCATGTTACAAAAGAGGAAGAAAGTTTCTTTTTAAAAACTTTTTTTTTTAAGGGAATTGGAACTAACCTGGGTTTTGCCACTGGCGAGCTACCTTTGCTCCAAACGATTGTCTATTCCTGAAGGCGATGCAGATATGTACTTACAGCACAGAGCAGTGTGGTACAAACATCTCGGCTTGTATTGCAAAGGCACACTGATACCTGGAGAGCTGGGGTAGATGAGCCTGGGCAGAGGACAGTGCTGGGCGCTGCTGAGCTGCCTCTGGTATCCACCTCATTCGTTCAGTGCAAATGTGTGTTTCTGGACAGCACTAAGCTGTACATTGTAAATCTGCCTTTAAGGCCCTAGTCCTGTTATGTTAGAAGCTCTGTAAACATGAGAGAGCATTTTTCCTAAATAACGCCCAATTTAAATATAACACAAAGCACGCGCTTGGATGTAACAGACAGATGGGAAAAAGCACGAGACAGTGAGACTATACTAGTCAACCTTAAAAGCATCAGTCACAGCATGACTTCGTTGGATTTTCTTTGGAGTAAGCATAGCCAGATTTCCTAACACTCTGCAGTGCATAGAGGGCCTTAAAGGATGATGTAGGAGTTGGGAAGTAAATGGCAGCAAAGATCAGTTCAGACTCAGCTGATGAGACTTTGAGCCTGCTACAAGGTTTTAGTGCTGAATTGCCTGTGCACTTAACATGCAAACTGAGTAAAAATTAAGAAATTGCAGCCCTTTCTTTCCTCTGCTGGAAACTGTTACTCATTTTTCTTGCTATTTATTTAACTAAGTGGGGGGTTTTTGGAAGCAGCGTCAGTCTGCCATGGCAGATCTCTTCCTCCTCTAAAGCTCCTTGTGCTCGAGGGCAGAGCTTCTGGCTTTCTCTGAACTGAAATATGGGCAGTTTTAAAAAGAAGATAGGCAAAACCGAAGAAGAAAGCCCCTATGAAATAGTTCTGCTTTCCTACAAACCACGCGTGTGGAGCTTGTGGGCTAATCCCTTACATGACGGTCTGTTACGTCCCTGAAAAGGGGAAGATGTTGCTGTAAATGTATTGCTCGGGTAAAGGAAGGACCTAGTATTTTAAATGCAATCTGCACTGTTTCTGCTGGAAGGACTTTGTTTAGACTCCCAGACCTGTCTGATGCAGGGTGGCTAGGACCAAGCTTATGTTAAATGTTTCTGGAGTGTGCCTGTCACTTGTTTTTTCTCATAATCCTCTTTTCCTGGGATTTCCCATTACTGCTGCCATTGAGGGGTATGTTAGAGCCGAATGAGTTTCTAATCACGCTTACATTTAGACTTATGTTCAGACTATATTGTGGTTTGGAGAAGCTCTTAAGATGCCTGTCCTGTGCCCTCACAGATGTACCTGTTTGTGTTGGCATCTTGAGGGAGCTACTGCAGTGTGACAGGACCTCGTAAGGTGGCTGCTTTTTTTTTTTTTAGCAGCGTAAGTAGCGTCTGTGGGGATGTCCACCCCAGGCAATGCAGCGATGCGCAGATCTACCCCGCTCGCTCGGCCGCGCCAGCGCTGGGAAGCAAAGTGGCTGAGCAGTCCCTCCGGCGTGCAGGCGCAGGGGCTGGCGGGGGGGACCTGTCCACGGTTAGGTTGGACTCGAGGCTTCTTTGTAAGCAGTACGGTTTCTCTGAGAGTTTTCTTTCTAGGGATCAGCTTCTCTAGCAGTTGATTTTCAGGCAGGTTTTTGAATTTACCAGTAATCGTGTGAACTTTTATTGCACTTCCTCTGGTGGGCAGGGAAGCGGATGGGATTTGGCTCTGTCTGCGCTGCAGCAGCTCCTGTCCGGAGACATTTCCCAACTCAGCTGCTGCATCATGCTGGATGCTGCCACATGGAGCACGTAGGATATTTTTGTGATTGATTTATTATTTCCCCCTGTTTCAGGCACGTTCAGAACATGAGTGAGATAAAGACAGATGTGGGGCGAGCCCGAGCCTGGATACGGCTTTCCCTGGAGAAGAAGCTTTTGTCTCAGCACCTGAAGCAGCTGCTTTCCAACCAGGCACTTACCAAGTAAGTCAGCTCTTGTTCTCAAAGCTTCGGTTTCACGTCTTCAGGTATTTCAGGTACTGTGGTTTCTGGTTAGGCAGGACTGAACAGCAGAGCATGGCTGATGAAGGACGTACTGCCCATCGAGCAGGGCAGAAGTCTGCTAATCTGCCTGGAAGACTAATTGCACTTTGGAGGGAGGAGGGGCTCGGTTTTGAGGCAGGTCAGTGCGTTTGATCCAATTCACTTTACAGCCCTTCAATCATTTTATCCTGTGCAAATGAAGCAGGAGGGACAGGAACGCCCCATTTCTCCCAGCAACCCTGCATTAGGCTGGCTCAAGCAAATTGCAGGCCCTCATCCTGACTGCAGATGAGCTGGGTTAGAGGCCAACCCTTCCAGTCTCTTGGCTTTCCTACTTTTTCTTCCTTTTGCAAGCACGTACACACAGGCTCTTCAGGCTTGCCGTGATCTGCCAGTGTAACTGCTTGTAGAGGTGTTCCCCAACTTCATCCTCTCAAAGCAAGCCCTTTAGATAAAACAAACCCTCTGAAAAGAAAATGTCCAAGCTAAAGCATGCAGCTTGTAGCAGAACTGGCACTGTCACGAGTTATGTGGGTGATTATACTAGAAGCTAACAAACACTCAAATCTGCTGGTGGGAAGAGATGAGGTGATGTGCACTGGCATCTCAGAACCGAAGGAGTGGAGGGATGGTACCTAGCACAGTTTGGTGCTTTCTGTTGTTTGATGCCTTCTGTTTAGCTTTCTCATTTGGAGGATGGAGTGGAAGGAAGATTAGGGTATTAGGCAAGCTTATTCCATGGTGGGGAACATAAGGGAAAAGCCTGAATGGGCTTAAATGGGGATGCTGTGTGTTGGCTCAGATCTGCTGTTGTGGGTAGTGCTAGTTTATATCTGTGCTTTGATGCGACATGAACAAAACTGATACTTTAAAGAAATGAACTCCATAGTCTAGCCAAGGCACCACAGAGCTCAGCACGGTCTGTAAAATGCATGCATGGCGTAGAGGGTAATGCTCAGATAGCCGGTCTGACCTAGGCTCAGTGCTCAGCACGGCACTTGACTTAGCGCAGCACTGACGCAGGGGCGTCTGTCCTTCAGAGCCGTCGTGGGACTGTCTACATCACCGATGTGCCCTAAGTCTTCTGTGCATTTAGCACAGCACTTATTTTGATTGGGAAGGCCATTGTGTTTAGACTTACTTATATGTCAGATTTCTAGCTACACGTAGGCTGGTATTGCTGCAGGTGAATAAAGTTGGAAATAGCCAACAGGGCTGAAGAGCTGACTTCTGTGCCCCTGTACTTGCGTGGTCATATGCGTACGCTCCCTTCCCAGACGTTTTTTTAAAAAATCTGGTTAATGTTGTTCTGTGTTGGTGGTCCTAGCCTATGGATGAGCAGGAGAATAACTAACATTTCTGTAAGGGGTTGCATTTGTTAAATAAAAATGATTAGAAATGGAACCTACATAAGTAAATGTGTTTTTATTAGCTGTGATGGGTTTCCAGCAGCTTATTTGTTGGGGATCTCACTCTACATGCTTCTAGTGAAGATCAGCTCCTCATCTGGTGTTCCAAGATTTAAAGACCTGTTAAGATGTGTGGTGCTTTTTCAATGAGACAGCAATATATTTGTTTCTATCAGGAAACTTTACAAGCGTTATGCTTTTCTGCGCTGTGAAGAGGAACGGGAACAGTTTCTGTATCACCTACTCTCACTCAACGCGGTGGATTACTTCTGCTTCACAAGCGTCTTCACCACAATCAGTGAGTTGGAGAATCAATTTTACTCCCCTTGAATAAAAACTAGTTGCTGTCCTGATGTGTATGAGAGGATATTGCTGCACTGTTGTCTGACTAGCTGAGCCCTTATCTGGAAACCTTGGCTATAGCTGCTGGGATTGTCGGGGCTGGGTGTTGCTCTGGGAAACCAGCTGGAGTTCAAGGTTGTGTGGGAGTGTTGTGGATAAGAGCGGAGGAGAGTAATTGGCAAAGAGCGCTGTAGCACTTAGACTTTTTTTTTTTTTTTTCCTCCGAGTTGGTCTGCTTTCATCTTTCTTCCAAGAAAAGCCATGTACATCCTAATGCTTTCTGGACTTCACTAAGTGTACATCCTAGCAGCCTGCTCTCTGCAAACTGAGAAAGAGGTGGAAGTCTTGGAAGATGAGATACAAGGCACTTTGTGCTGCTTCGTATAGTTTTCATTTCTTCCTCTCTCTCATTAAATGGCTGAAAGATTTCCTTCCCTCCTCCTTTCCTGTAAGAATGAGAGGAGAGATTGGATCAAAACCTGAACACAAATCTTATTGTCCCTGCAACACTGAACACTGCTGAGAAGGCAGGACCCCATGAGATGACCTAATTTTTCTGATTGACTTTGATTTTCATTTTCTTATCCATTTAGAGTGAAGTGAAGCAAGTTATGCTTGGTTGTCAGAATAGTCACTCATTCTACTCCTCTCCTCTTAAAAAAATAAATCCCCTCAGAACTAGCACAGTGCAAGGAGATTTATTCATCCTTCATTACCTTGTTTCTCTGGGGCATCCTGCTTGGCAGCTTTCCCCTGTAGGACAAGTGCTTGGAGTTTGGGGATTTTTTCCTGAGTGCAGTGTCATCATATTGCACATTTAGAAAAAAAAAAAAAACTGGCTTATTTTATCCAAAAGCAGCTTTTTAACCATAAGGAAAAACAATCTTGTAGTGCTAGTATGCAAAATCTTGCAGTCAATCCAAACTGGAGTGGGAGGCTGTTCCTGTTGTCTCAAGCAGTTATAAATGGTGCAGGTTTAAAAAAAAAGGGGGGGGGGGGGGTAAGGGGCGTTCACAGAGACACCTCAGATTTGAGGCTTTGGTCTATGTTGTTACCAGCCTTGTCAGTATTTCTGGTGTTCCCAGTTCCCCCTATAACCTTCTGTGTTATACCCACTCTCACCCTACAGGGGGTGGCTTGACGCAGGTGAGATTTATTCCTTTTTCTTTTTTTTCTTAATTTTTTTTTTTTTCCTCCGATAAACAAGAAGGTCGCCCTTGCTTTGAAGGGCTTTCGCTGCAAGGTGAACGCTTGCGCCGGTCGCAAGACTGCAGCACCACCTTGCGGCACCCGAGCCCGGCGCGCTGCGCCCTGCCAAGCCTGGGACCTCCTGCCCCGAAAGCCCCGAGTGGCCCGGGGATGGGCTCCCCGGGGGCTCTCGCCGCAGCCCCTGCAGAGCTATGAGAGCTGCCGTCTGCTGATGACGGAGATTTAAGAAGCAGTTGCGTGAAGACCGCTCCTAGAGATTACTCGCAGAAAGTAGCGTGCGTGGAAACCACCCAAAAGCGGCACTGCAGAGCAGCCTTTTCTGCCTCGTAGCTGGCCGGCTGTCTAGGCTGGGAGTGCCGCTGTGACCGTCTGCGAGAGGAGAGCGTCTGCCTCCGCAGCAGGGCGCTTTGTCGGTTTGTCTCACCCTTTACAGGGAGCACAGAGGGGATTTCTACTTATGACGCTGCTGAGACGTGGAACTCGTCTCCAAGGGAGAAGCATGGTTTATTCTGTAAACCTTATTTCCTGGAAAAAAAAAATGGTCAAGACTAATTTTTTTTTTTCCTCTCCTCTCCTGTTATCAGTGATCCCATATCGGTCAGTGATAATCCCCATCAAAAAATTAAGCAATGCAATAACCACATCAAACCCATGGATTTGTGTTTCGGGAGAACTAGGAGATACGGGCGTAATGCAGATTCCGAAAAACCACCTAGAAATGACGTTTGAGGTGAGCACACTCTCGTTCCGTTTTACTTCCAGTGTGAAATGTGCTTCCAAACACATCCACACTTATTTGGTGAGGATTTATTAAGTTAAGAACACAACATTTCACATTCTGTCCAGGTTTTCCAGGTTGCAGAACATTTAAAATAAAGCAGGAAAAAAGGGCTGCCTGCCCCTCCTGTGGTAGATGAAAATTCATACGAGCATATAGCAGGGTTTCCCGCCGGCTCCTCTCCTCTTCCTATCTCAGCCCAAGCCTACTCTTCTCACCTCGCCAGGCTATTTCCACTTTCCATTCCCTTCCAGGTCTCCTTGCCAGCTATTCTAGTTTTCATTTTCTGGATGCATTTCTGACTTCTAATTTCCTTCCTAGCGTCTATTCCCTTCAGGGTGTCTCCCCACTGACCTCCACCCTGGCCCCTTTTCCAACATTTGGCCAATCCCAAATTTCCTCTCCCCCAGCTCCTTGCTGGAGGTTGCTCCTGTCCTCCCAACTGGCTGGTCTAGCCCCTGTGCCCTGCAGCTCCAGGTGTGACCCTCTGTAAATCGTAGAGCTCCCATCTCTCCTTCTTCCCTACTTGCTGAAATTTTTTTCTTCCGCTTTGCCTTGGACTGCCCCCTGCACTCCCACCCCTGGGTTACAGCTTGGCTCCGCTCCAGCCCTGGTAAGGAGGGATTGCTTAGGAATATGTGCTGCTAAAATTGAAGTTACATCACTTAAGCAAATGCGAGCTGATCCAAAGCAACAATAAAAGATAGGTGGATTTTGATAGGGATGGATTTGGACGAGGTCCGAACATAGGTGGATTTTGACAGGGACAGAGAAGGTATTTTCCTGTTCAAAAGCCACCTCCCGTTTAGATAACCGTATTCTGTAGGAAAGATCTCAAGACTTCTAACAGGCAGAATAACAGACATTTCGAAGGACTATGGTAATGCTGTTCTGGAATACTCTTTTGGCTGAAGTTTTCCCAAAATATTGACTTGGGTAGCCACCCACTATGGAAAATGTCAGCTTGAACTGCTTGCTTGGCAGTGTTAGAAGCAACGAAAACCAAGGTCTTGTAAGGGAAGTGTTTAGGTGACTTAATGGATGTTGCTGCCAGCCCCACCTACAATTACATATTGCACTGGAATTCAAAGTCCCTTGTTTTCCTTATGCCTGTCTCTTTGTGAGCTTAAGCTTCTTATATTAGTGGGTTTTGTCTTGCCCAACAATATGCAGATTGATCTTTGACAATCATAAAGGATCTAGGGACGATTTCCTAGTGTGGAGTGATTCCATTGTAGCAAAGGTCAATATTAAAGATGCTACTTTGAGAAGCTGTTTGTACTGAAGATTTCTTTCTTCTACAAAAGCACACCTTTTTATCACCTTAGCTCAGAAACTTGTAATTAACACAGAATTATTCAGGGTGAGTTCTTGCAACAAAGCGTATATACTCTTCCCGAGGTTTTAACAAGTTTATTTCAAGGTACTTTTTTCCTGTCTTACCCCAAAACAGCAATTATTCTGTTTTTTTTCCTTTTTTTCCTCCTCCTTTTTCAAAGCATTTGGTTGAAAATGCCTGCTATGTAAATCAAATAAAAAATAAAAACATAAATTTGAGACTGTCTGTGTGCATGTGGTACGGGGTGGGGGGAGCGTGGTCTGTTGTTATTTAAATAGAGTAAAAATTGTTATTCATTTCAGTGCCAGAATTTAGGAAAAATGACGACTGTTCAGATTGGTCATGACAACTCAGGGCTATTAGCCAAGTGGCTGGTTGATTGTGTCATGGTCAGAAATGAAATAACAGGACACACGTACAAGTAAGCAACAAGTTTCATCCATGTTCTATTTTTCTTTGTCTGAAATTCCTAGCGGTTACTCAAGTTTACCAAGAAAGCATTTGTCTTCTCCTCAACTGGGCAGAGCTCCGATGAAAAAGAGTGGGCTGATTTGAGTAGCAGAAAGGGTTGGGGTTAGTTTACCGCACCCCCACTCCTCTGATTTCAGAAGCCCCAGTTGAAGCCAAATAATCTGCTAACTATTACTTGAGACTTGAATGTCAGATTTTCTTCATATCACTCTGAGATAGGACAGACTGTTTGGATACTTTTGAAGTGATTCATATGTTTCTGTCCAGTAATAAATCTCTTGGTTTAAAATAGTGTGGTACAATTGTGCATAAATGAACTCCTTAAACCTCAAGAGCTGGAATGATTGTTTTGGGGCAAATCTTTGTCTTTTAAAAAAGAAGCCAAAAAATGAAAGCATTTGCATGCCTAAATACTTTAACAAATGTACAGAAATTTAGATTTCAAGAAAACTAGAGGTTTTGATGATTTCTTAAACTTCCATTATGACTCCATGCTTGTGTAGAAATAATCTCCTAATTCTTCACTAGTTCAACTGTCTAAGCAGACTTAATTCTTTTCCTAAATGTGGATTTGGAAAATTAGCTTTCAGAGAGGTGGGCTCCAGAGCTCGGAGTTGGCCACAGTACATGGCGGGGAAAAGCAGAAGGAAATCGGTACAAGCGCTAGTGGTATGTGCATGTGCGCCAGAGTTGATTGACACTGTGGATGGCATCAAGAAGTAGAGCAACCGCATGTGAGGTTTGGATATTAGATATGAGGAGATATTACAGCTTCATCTGCCTGGAGACTCTGCGGATTTTATTTTTAATCATAATTCTTTAAAGGCTCAATCAAGGTTGCAAATGAAGAATAACACTAGCAGAAGTCTAAATGTGGCCCTTTAAATACGTATGTAACATATGCTAATGAGTGCAGTGTTTTCTGGTTTTGCCTTTTTAAGAAAGTTGAGGTGAATGCTGCCTTCTCAGTTCCGGTTTGTGAAAAGTTTTTGGCTACAGAGTATTTCCTGCCCATTAATAGTGTTTATAGGTGATAACTGTTCCTCTGGCTTTGAACATGCATCTCACCAAAGCATTTGTGCTGGCTGGTACTGCAGGTTTCCGTGTGGACGATGGCTGGGGAAGGGAGTCGACGACGGCAGTTTGGAGCGAATACTTATTGGGGAGCTGGTGTCCTCAACGTCTGATGAGGAGCTGGGAAAGCAGTGCCGTACCCCACCCCAGCAGAAGTCTCCTACCACAGCTCGCAGGCTGAGCATCACTTCCCTCACTGGGAAGAATACGAGTAAGTCCTTCTCTTTGCTCCCAGGGTGGGGCAGTGACTGCTGAGAAATAACCCTCTTTAACAGGAGAGCTCCCTGGCGAGCAAGGCTTGGTGGAGCAGGCAGTTGCCACCTGAGGGACAAGCTTGCTTCTGCCCCGTCTCCATGTCCGCAGCTTGCCCTGTGATCCTGCGCCTTACCTCTCTGAATTTTCCCATGTGGCAGCAGAGAGAGAATAACCCCTTTCTCCTGGAGCATGGGGATTTGAGATAGGGGAGGAGGAGGAAGCAAGGCTGGCACTAGCTAATACTGTTCAGCTTCATGGGCTCTCTTTGCAGTCAGTGGGGAGATAGCCTCTCTGGAGGGCACTTCAGAGCCACAGCCTGATGTGGATGCTCTGAGCTGCCTTTTGGAGGAGCCCTTCTCCAAAGGGAGCCTTGGCGAAGGATCGGCTTCATGTCCCTAAAATTATTTTTTGTGAGTAACTCCACCTGGCTACAGCAGGGCATGGGGATGTAAGGGCCATATGGGGCATTGTCAGCTCAAGCATACGGATGAGCCCAGTATGGATCCTTTTTGTAAATTTGTCTAGCTCTGGTAAAACTAGAGGTCATGACTGCTAAAATGTTAAGCAAGGAAAGATTAGCCTCTAAGAGTAATGCAACATTTAAAAATTGTCATGGAATCAGTGCAGCTCTCTACATGTGCAAGTCCATATTAGCTCAAGGTGTAGGCATCATAGCTACTTGCAAAGAGAAAAGCAAAGCCCAATAATTCAATTTTGAACCACCTGAGCATGTATTTTAGACCTGCCAAAGACTGTGGAGATCGTCACATATTAAAATGATACTGAATTACACCGTGCTTCCAAAATAACAGTTGTAGGACAATCTCATGATAACCTATGTATGTCTTAAAAACTAGAAAGAACTTATAGAAGACTTATGAAAATGATTTGAGGTTTGGAAGAAGTGCGCTCAAAATGACAGGAATTAGAAGCTCAGTCTGTTTTATCAGAAAACGAATGAAGGACTTGAAGACATTCTTCAGGCAACTGCATAGGAAGAGCAATGGTTGAATAAATTAGCAGGCGGAGGCATAGCATGATTCAGTAGCAACATAAAGCTAAATGAAGTCGGAGCAGAAATAGGGCATACATTTTAACGTTGAAGATAACTTAAACTTGGATCCATTCCAAGCATAGAAATATTGGCTTCTGCTCCCTCACACCGGTACGATGACTAGACGTTTCCTTAAAATACATACTTCTTGTGGCTCGGTAAAATCTTGTGGGTTGAAGCCAGGAATTCATGGGTGCAAGGCTTTCTGGCCTGTGCCATATAGAACTGAGTCAAATGATTGGGCTGTAACCTTCCAGCCCATGCCTCTTAGCAAGAGGATTGCGGTGCACTATGTGATAGGCAGGATACGATTAACTGAAATAAAATATTGATCAAGGAAGATCCTTGGGTTGTGCATTTTTAAGCGGGGCAATTTATTTGACTATTCCAAGATTGCTCGTTGCTTGCTTATAATTAAGGCTCAGGTTTACTCATGACAAATGATTCCATGAACTCTTCCCTGTTAAAGACACAGACTATTTCCTGCAGTTCAAGCTATGTCATCATGAGACTTCAATGAATGTTTTAAAGTTAGTATCTTCCACTACCGTGCTCTCCATCGTTTTACAGAGCCTAACGCAGGACAGATCCAAGAAGGAATTGGAGAAGCTGTGAACAATATTGTGAAACATTTTCACAAACCAGAGAAAGAGGTATTTCCTAATTATCATTACCTGCTTTGTACCTGCAATAAGTGTAAATATTTTTATGAACAGAAATGGAATTGAAGCACCTGTAGAGACTGCTAACCTTTAGATCTGAAGCTTCTGGCTTATAAACAGGGCAAGTTGTGCTTACAGCCTCTCCCTTTCCCGCAGAGAGGGAGCCTTACTATCCTGTTGTGTGGAGAAAGTGGTCTGGTTGCAGCCCTGGAGCAGGTCTTCCACCATGGATTCAAATCATCTCGCATTTTTCATAAGAATGTCTTCATCTGGGATTTCATAGGTAAGCGTTGCAGGTTATATGGTTTGGAGGCAGAAGGAGAAGAAAGATGAGAGCAAAATGACTACTCACGCACAGACCTCAGGTCCTTATCAGCAAGGCTACCATCTGCTCCTGCCTAGGACTCACTCTAGGTTACTTGAAATAAATGAGAAACAAGATGAAAGATTAAAAATGATAAACTTTTTATAAAGGATGAGTGTAAATCTGTGCAGAAATTTAAGAGCACTTTGAATTCTAGTCTTTCACTGAAACATGAGTGCTCAAACAGCTGCTTTTCTGTCCGGAAAGAAGGCAGACTGGAGGCTGCAGCAGGGTAGCTGCTGATGTGAGGGAGGTGGCTGGGAAAGGGCAAGGAGAGGAAGACTTAGATTTCTATTTGTTTGGGAGACCGATCCTAATCACTGGTCTGGTCACCTTATCTGTAGGCCTGTGTTGTGGTAATGTAAAACTTACTGTCTTAAAACGTGCTTACAGGTTGAGATTGTTAGCCTGAGGGTAAGTTCTCACTCAGAAAGAAAGAAAAATCACAGCTGATGGTATCACTTAGAATTAAACCACTGACATGCTCGTGTGGCTCATTGATGTTACGTAGCTCTGTGACACATCAGTCAGTCTGCTCACCACTGCCATGTAGCAGAGGTGGAGTTTTCCAACTACCTATTATTTTTAGAATGAGGAAACTATGTAAAAACTGCAATAGCTCTTGGCAGGCTATTTTTTTAAGGCCTCCCTTGTGCAATTCTAAGTTGCAATAAGCTACTTCTAAAAGGCACTTTTTGCTCACTGGGTTCTGAATTCTGTCCTTCCCCAGAAAAAGCTGTTGCTTATTTTGAAACCAGTGACCAGATTGGAGACAACGAGGAGGGCCTTCTGCTTCAGAGGTCTTCATGCAAATCCTTCTGTCATTACGTGACTGCCATCAATACAGCTCCAAGGAACATTGGGAAGGACGGCAAATTCCAAATTCTGGTTTGCCTGGGGACGAGGTAACTAACTGTTCTTCATTATATGTGTCTTTCTGCATTAGACTAGAAGAATACTTTACACCTTTATTATATAGCTTTATCTTCCTATTTTAAGATAACTTATATTTGTCAGTTATCCAGCTCCTATTTTAGGTAGCTTTAATAGTAGGAAGGAAACTGCAGCAAAGAAGCAGTAGTAATACATGCCTAGTGTCTAAACCTCTAAGAATGTTTTTGACTTTATATAACTTTTAGCTTGACAGTCAGAGGTATGAAATCTGTCTTGAAATTGTGCCTTTGAAGTGCAGGCTTTGGGAGTTCAGAGTTCCTTTACAAGAGCTGGTGCATTTCTAGATTCTCACTGAATCATTTTGCATACGAAAATGGAGTGTCTATTATCATTTGGCAAAACTAGACGAGATGAAGCTTTCTTTCTGAATGCTTTCTGTCTTGGGCTGGGAGCGTTGATTATATGTGAGGGAGAAGGTGGTATATCTAGAAATAAGTACCGGTTTTATCTCATCTGTCTGGACATGCTGAAACCTAGCTGGAAAACAGTCTTCTGCTTGTTTTTTTTCTTGAGTTTTACTTTCCCTGTTACTGATTTCTTCAAAAGTTATTTGTCCGTTTTTTGCTGATATCTTTCCGTCTTCATTCCTGCAGCATGGTCAGTTATTTCTGTCATATTTTACTAACAAAATTAAGAGTCAGAATTGCACAGGAAACTTTTTTTTGTAAAACACTGTGCATCTCACACAAAATATGTGTTTTTAGAGAAGAATTTCAGTTTGAGAGCTGTTGTCCTTTGTGCTAAAATACTTCCTTTTGTGCCTTTTCAGGGACCACTTGTTGCCCCAGTGGATCCCACTCCTGGCAGAGTGCCCACCCATCACGCGGATGTACGAGGAGAACGCCCTCCTGCGGGACCGCATGACTGTCAACTCCCTTATCCGGGTCCTACAGACATTGCAAGATTTCAACATTGTCCTAGAAGGATCGCTCATTAAAGGAGTGGATGTTTAGCGTGGCTTTGCCGAGAACTTCATTATTCCTTTCCTGAGCAAGCAAACTGCAACCGGAGACCTGTCAGGACTTAAACGCAACGGTAGCGCACCACTGTAAGGCAAAGCCGCCTTCTGGAGCGTGAGCGGGAAGACCCATTGATGCTAGAGATCAGGACTGTCCTCTGAAGCTGCGAAAAGCTAAAATGCAGTATTGTAGTTTATTTGAAACAGAAATTTAGTATAAAATAGAGTATTTTCATGTGTTAGATGTGTGTAAATATGCTATCTTCTTTAAGAAATTATATTACTCTAAGAAAATTTTCTTAGACTGAATGTTCTTGTTCTGGATATGAGTAGCTTAAGCCCAGGGGAAGGACTGGGGGGAGGGAAGGACTGAGGCAGAAAAGGATGCCGCTACTTGCTTGCAAGGAAGAAGCCAATCAATGTGTAAATACAGTGCAAACTCAGCAGGGCTTTTTCAGGTATTGCAAATGAATACAGCAAATATCCGTATGTTGCCATTGTGATTGTCTCACTCTTGGAAATGTTGTAAGCGTATGCCGTTTGCCCTACTGTACCTGATCTCCCTTTGGGTTTTTTGTTTGTTCAAAGACCCAACCTTTTCCATGCACAGAAGTCGTGAGTCGTCATTTTTTTCTGTAAGGTCTTTTGTGTCACTTCTATTGCTCTCCAGAGGGGAGACAAGCGCTGAAATGCTGAAACACTGGAGATGGGAACTGCTGAGCCTCAGAGCCCAGGAGGCGCCGAGACCTGTTTAAGCTGCGCAGCTGCAGCCTGAGGTGGGGGAGCAGTGGTTCGCTGGGCTCCTTGGTTTGTCCCTCGCCTGCCTACATGTTCTGATGATCCCCCTTCATATTCCCCCCCAGCCCACTTGTGTTGTGGATGGCTTTTTTTTCTTTCCCATATTGAGGAATTTGGTTCATGAGATGTACCAAATTCTTGCTGTACTTGAGAATAATCATTGTTGTAGAGCCACAAACACCGATGTTGCTGTGCTACTGAACAATCTCAGCTTGTTTTGAAATGCTGACAGGTTACTAGTCTTCCTCTATCCTGCAGAATGTGTGTTCCTAGAAGGTATGGAATCTTTGATTACTGCTTTTTCTTTTCCTTTTTTGTCATCCAGCTACAAAACAAGAATGAAGTAAAAGGAGGGGGAAAAAATCCCACTTTGGTCGTTTGAGGCTCTTCTCCCACAGTCTTTCCAGTTAATGTGTTAGTAATACAGTACATTTATATAGATCCAAGTCTTGAAGAGAAACTGGGAATTGGTGAAATCCTGTACACTAAAAATGAACAGCAGATTCCATTAAAATCAACTTGTGGATACCATGCAGCAAAAACGGGGTATATTTTCCTTTCTTGTAGATGGAAGCCGAAGGGGTCTGAGGGAATAGTTAGCTTCATTTGATTTTAGTTTTCAGAAGTTGGTTTAAATAGGTGTGGTTTTGCTTTCACTTGTTTATCCCCTTTGATCTTGGCCAACTCTTCAGTAGATGTGGACATCTCACCGCTATAACGGTCAGCTGTGGCTTGCAAAGGCCCTTATCTGGTATTGTAAGTGTATTGCCTTGCACTTTGTTCTCAAATGGCAATAGAAAAGATTTGGGAGCGCTGGGCAATAGTACATCTCTATATGGTATGCACATAATAGAGAGAGGAATGAGAGCTAAGGCAAAGGAAAGAGGATTAAAATTAGGGTTAGCGTTTTCGTTTGCCTGCTGTCCAGCTTCTTCACTTTCCTGCGGTCCTTCTGCTGTACAGGTCTTGTAAGAGCGCTCATTTTGGTGTCAAGGTTTTGGATCACGTTCCTGGCCAGAAGAAAATTCTTGTTACGGCTCGATGTTATTAGAAGGGAAAGCGCTTGCATGTCCTTAAACTCATCCCAAACACCACAGGCAGCGCTGCAGGGTCTCTGCTGCGGGCGTGAGTTGTGAGTAACGAACGTAAGGGCTGTGAATGGTGTCATGAGTTTGTAGCCAGAGCTCATAGCTGCGTGACGTCTCCCTCACGTGTCCAGAAAGGTGGAGCTTGAGGCGTTAGGTTTTTTGAGTGGCTGGGCAAGTCTGCTTAAAAGTCAGCAGAAGATGCATGACAAACCTCCAGCAGCAATTTAAAATGCATTGCTAGTGCTTTTCTTTATCAATAAATTATACATTTAGTACCAGAAACCCTATGGCAGCGTTATTTGGTAATGACTGCTTAGGATGTTTTGTTTTCTTTTACTTACAGTTCGGGCATTCTGTGTCTAATAACTGCTATACATGATTTCCTCATGCCCAGCCCAGTCTAAGTGACTTTCATTTTACTGAGATAATAACCTCTTCAGTCACTGCATTTCTTTGCAGCAGCATCTGCATCTGCTAGCTGAATGCCTTTTCCTTCTTCTCAGAATAAATTTAAGCATCCATAACGTTCACCCAACATGACACAGTTTAAGTGCAAGCAGGATGAAGTAAAAACTTTGAGCATCTCTAAAGGTCAAGCACAGATGAATAAATGATACACACAGAAGGCAATAATGTCTTAAAGTCTTTCAAAAGAGTAAGTCAAAAAAGTTAAAATAGTAGGTCCAAACCTGAGAAATTTGAAAATTCAAAATAGGGACTCCCTCCATTTCAAACTAGGTTAAGGAACCTTTAGCACTTAACTTTAAGACAACTTCACATCAGCTTCTTTAGCAAGTATTGGCTTGTTTGTTTTTGTCAGGTTTCACATCATATTAATGATTCAATAAAAATGATGTATTTGTAATATTTCCTTGTAGTAGGCAATAAAGCACCCTAAGGTGTGTTGAAAGGGGCACATCTGAGTACCTCTGATTTGTAGAAGACTAGTTATTTGACAACCTTGGGAGTATGGTTCTTTGTAGTGAATTTTTATCCTTTTTTTTTTTTGGTAGACTACTTTTGTTTATTGGGAACTGTGAGGTTTTTTTCTGTGAGGTTTACAGAAATCGTTCTGTCTGCTAGAATGGTGAGAAACCCATCGGGATTCTTCTAAGCTGACACAATTTTTACTTCAGTGTTAAAGCACCTTCATTGGTTGAGAAAGGGAATCTTGGAGAAGACCAAAGCTCTCTGCTTTTACAAAGTTTCCTACCCAGCATCTGTTTGCAAATGTCTGAGTTTGCATAGTCCTGTTATACTAACATTAAATATAGAGTCAGAGAAATCAAAAGAGAATCAAGGAGTCAGAGACTCAAATGCCTCACTGTGTACAAATGTACTGTGCAAAAAAAGTATTTACAAGTCTCTGAAACTAATGAAATCGTACTGTTTAGTGAAAACTCTATTCACGTTTGTTTTGAGCTGGCATGTGTAATTAGATACCATTGTTCAAAACTCTCTTTTTAAAATAGTGGTGTAAAGGCATGTTTGAGGAAATTCCTTCTTTCAATCAAATGAAGGTGTGCATCTTAAGGGGAAATACTGATGTTACACTTGAAATGTACAAATGTGCCCTGTATAGCTCAGAATGACCCTAAATGTCTCCATTAAGTATATTTTGTCTTTGCGTTATTACTAGCTGAATAAGAACTGGATTATTTTCAAGAAGACAACATTAGTAAAAGTATTGTTATATCAAGCACTTTAACATACATATCACAAATTGACATGGATTTTTTCAGGTTTTGAAGTACATTGAAATACAGCTTTTCATGCTATGTCCTTTACAAATAAAAACTGTGAGAATAACAGCTTGTGTTGCTTTCTCCTTGCAGAACAGGAACCGAAAGATTCGAGTCACAAGCTGAAGAGCTGAGCTAAATTGGGAGCGTGCGTTTCGTAAACGGGACAAGCTGAACGAACCCATTCCCAATACTGGGAACTCACTGCAGTGATGAGGGGGTGCAGGGCCCCCTCTTAAAATCTTCCCGTCTGCCTCATGCAATGCAAAAGTCTGACCTCACTGGGCTTGCCTGACTCCTCTTTTTGAAGGCTTACGTGGAGAACTCAGCTGAACGAGAGGACCGGGGAGCACAGCGAGGGATAGCTCTTAGGCAGGTATTTGCTAGGTAGCCTAGGCTGCTCTCCCGTAACATCTGGAGTGCCAGGGAGGAGAGGGGATGGGGTGGGCCTGTTGGCAGCAAAATGGGAAGCGCTAGGATTAACTACATCTGAGGATCTCTTCTTTGCAGCTGGTTTGCTTTGATCCTTCAATGTGAGGTTAAGAAGCTTGAATGAAACTCTTGCCATCCAGTCTGTTAACATGCGCTATAATAAGAGAGGTTAGTAAAGGAGAGGAGAGATGGATGCTAGCAACAGAAAAGGTGCAAATGATTGGTAGATAAATGGCCTTGCCTAATAATTAAAGGGTTTTCTGAGTTGGACTGGATTTTCAGAAATTCCTCCCCACCCTGTCTCCCACGGCTCTGACTTTGCTCAAAATGACAAAAATAGGAGAATTTTTTGAAAACTGCACATTTAAAATGCATTCACCTGAATGTGTGTCTGCAGCATGTGTTTGGGGTGGGAGAGTGATTCATTTTAACTCTTGGTTTTGAAAATGCAGAAAATCTCAGGAGGATTGAAGGTGTCAGGGCCTGGGACTCTATATGTGACAATCCTCAAATACATCACACTTGTCAACAGTGTGACACCACAATTTACAGGCTCCTGTAAATGTGGATAAAATCAATAGAACTTGTTGCTGACAAATTTCAAAAGGAGTGACCCTGCTTCATTTCCTTACTAAACATATTAGGCTTAAGTATCTAAACCAGACATAGTGGAGTCTAACTGGCTTTCTGAAGACAGTAAATAATTTAAGTGAAGCAGGACTAAACTTGTTGAGATGAGGAAGTACAAATAACTTCCCCTTCAATATACTGTCATTGATCCAACCTGGGAACACTCCAATGCTTTCTGCAAAGCATACATAGAAGAAAACGTGCACAGGTAGGAGTTGAAATTGCTTGCTGATCTGATTTGTTGCTTTTCCGCGTTTCAGGTAAGCTTGTTGGAACAAACCGTGCTCCAGAGAGTAGCTACTTCTCCATCTGTCACCCCATCAGCTCAGAAAGGGAGGCTCTTGTCAGTGCAGCCAGGAGGCATTTCATTGCTGGCATTCAAATGTCCTTCCCTGCTATTCCCTCAGACACGTATCGTTATAAGGAGGTTCGAGCTGAGGGGAGGATGTGAAGAGAATGGGAAAATCTCTTGTATCACTCTGCTATAAAGTGACTGGTTATGGTAAACTAACTGCCTAAGCTACTGACAAGCTGATTTGTCACTGGAAAGCTGCCGTTCTGCAGGAGGGTTTGACACCTTAATGGGCCCATCTGTATTCTGCTGCAGACCTCGCAGGGCATCTCGGCTCCTCAGGAAGAGCTTACTCTGTCAGAAGACGACGCGGTGGCCAGACAAATTATTTTCTCCTTTAACCAAGCCCACCTGTGTCTCAAACAAAAAGAAAAAGCAACCAACAACACCCCCCCCCAAAAAAAAAAAACCCCGATGCTTGTACGCAGCGTGTTTCCCCAGAAATGTTGTTATAGTAGTCCTGGTTGCTGTGTGATCGAGTGACAGCCTTGATAGCATTCAGTAGTTGATTCAGTGGGATTCAGAAATGTAAAATAATTATGGCTCAAGTATTCCCAAGAGTTACTCTAATGTAAGTAATCAAATGATGTTGTTTCTGCTGCTTGTAGTGGATAGCCAAGACTTGTGCAAGTCTACTTGTCTCATAGGAGGGGTAAAAGTAGAAAATATACAGAACTTTTAATTCTGGCCCTTTGTACAAAGTAATTGTCCTGTCCTTCATATAGAACCCTTAGTTCTATACGAGCGTTTCCGTCTATGATCCATTTACTCTTAGATCTGACAAGAATAGTGAGTTTAAATAGGTGAATCATAGAGTGGTCCATACCTCAAGCCTCAAGTGTTCCAGTCCTGCTGTAGGGTAAGTACTAAACAACCAAACATGGTGAATGAACAATCAAGTTTTTTTTTACAGAGTGCATTTGGCAGGACTATGCAGCAGATTTAATTCCCGAGGAGCTCAAATGCTTATCACAGAGCATTTATTCTCCCCGTGAGAGGCAGGCATGGAGAATGCAAGAGACAACCCAATGTTCACCCCGCACGTTCAGTGCCAGACTCCCTCCCGCTCCCACGACCAGCTGATACAAGCCTAGGCTGAAATAAAATTAAACTTCTCCTTCAGTAGCAGACAGATGTTGGATTTGGTGCTCTGCAGTCCTTGCATTCTCCTGCTCTCAAAGAGAGGTTTTCACAAAGGCTAGTATCAGCCTAGGAAAGCTGTTTTCCTTACACTACCTCTGTAGCCAGAGGGAAAAGATGAGCTGCTGCAGTAGGCCTTAAGAAGAGAAACCTAACTCGGCTGCTTCTAATTATGTCTAGAGAAGTCCGGCAGGGGCAGCTTGAGGAGGCTAAGCTAACATTAATCTTTATGAATATCCCCCTCAGTATCGTCCTCCCATACTGAGTTCATTTCTTCAAGGCTGTGGTGGATCCAAGTGATGCATTAGCATGTTCTTTACACATCAATTTTGTTAGCGGGGTTTTTTTAACAATATATTAGCACTTTAGATATGAAGATAAATTCTTTATTCCTCTTGCAGAGGCACCAGATAGAAACCAGAAAGTGTGGCTTCAATTCCTAGGTCTCCCTGACTTCCACTGAGACTTTTAAGCAACTTGCTTACAGGGTATCCCATTTTGCAGCCAAAGAGCTGAGGTACAGCATGGAGGGACTTCATTTTGGCCATTCTTTGCCTCACTGGTCTAGATGGTTCAGCCTTTGGATTAGTAACTGCTCATCCAGAGTCCACTGATGTGTGACCGAGAGAAGTTTTCAGTGCTGCTGTGACATAAATACCCTGAGGTCTCATCTGTGGTTAATTCCAGTTGAAAGACACTTCTAAAGCCTGTTGATTTGTGATATGTGGGCATGTGTAAGTCTGCCTAGCTGTGTATGGTTAGAGAGTTTCCTAATTTTTAGGGCAGAAGAATAAGCTTTCTTTGTACAAAGTTATGATACAGTGATTATGGTTGCCATTTGCAATGAGATTAAGCATTACAAGAATGCATATGAAAACATGTGTAGCTACTGCAGATTCCCTACCAAAGCAGAGGAAGAGAAAAGAGATGGTGTGCGAGAGCAGATCACCACAGCTTTTCATCCCCGGTCCAAAGCTTTTCTAGGAGGCATCAACTGTCCATAAGGTCACTTCAGAAACTCTGGCTGCTGGGATGAGACAAGCTGCCCAGACCAAGAGGCAGTAGTTATGTTCAGGGGGGAGGTAACAGGGATGTCCACAAGCTTAGCTTTTCCTGGATTGGTTTTTGAGTTTTTTGAGAACAATATGGGAGATCTCCCTGCTGCCTGTGGCTACATTAGGTTAAGCCTAGCTCCTCTCTGGCCCATAACATATCCCCGTTTATCCTAAGTCCAAATAGATGATCAACAATACTAGGAAATGGATGGTGGAAGGTACTTTAAGTGCTGTAAGAGATCTCCAGTAATGGTCAGAATATGCACAATATAATTGGGGTTCATCTTCATTGTTTAAAAAAAGAAAAAAAGCATGGAATTAACTTCAAATGAGCTGGGATATCAGCCTAAAGGCTGTGCTACTGTACTGGAGATAGCTGCGAACTCTTACTTTAAGTCTCCTTAGCCTATTTCTTCTGATCGGTGCTCTCACTTGAATTAACTTTACCTGTTTTGCACGTGTGCAGCTTTTGAACTGACATTCCCTGATGAGATAGATGTGATGCACTCTAAATCAGATCATGTAAGATGAACAGCTTGGAATTAGCGTGATTCTTGGTTTGCCTGAGATCTAACTCTCTTGCAGGAGCCTCTGTGGCTCCTGACTGTATGATAGTGTGAAGCTGGCAGAGCGTGGGTGCGGTGCATAGGATGTTTTTTTCTTCCCTATGTAAAAACAACTTTTAGAAACACTGCAGTCGGGGAACTTAAATAGAAATATCACCCAGTGGCTCTACCCAGCTTTCATGTTCTGAAAGCTGTGGAAAAGGTTTCCATTTGCGGTAATGGGAACACAAAACTGAGGGAAAACTTTCAGACTGGAGAAGCTATTTAATTCATCCTCTGAATGGACTTTATTACACAAGAATTCAGATGTCAGCATAAATTGGTGCTAGACAGGGGTCGTGTGGGTAGCTATGATGAGTGAGAAATGGGATATCTGTTCCAGGCTTAGTCATTTCTGTTTAACTGGTATACCGCAAAGAAGCGAGGAATGAACAATTATAGAAAAGCCATGAACTGTCGAACCTTCAGTTCACATGTATGTCCTAGGAGGTGCAAGTACAACTTGATCCACCGTGGTGATCATATCTTGGCCTTGCTGAAGTCAGTGGAAGTTCCTAAAACCAAAGAGTCTAGAAAGACGTTCATAAGCACTGTAGTCTACTAATCTATTAGTCTGTGCATAGAAAAGGAGCAGTTCTTGGATGGGAAAATAGTAAAGTGATTATTGTTGCTGCTTGCAACACTTGATATTTATTAAGTCAGTCCTGCTCTTATGCATTAGAATTTGCTTCTAGGTGATTTCAATATTTTGAGCATAATTTGTCATCTCTTCCTCCTCTGTGCTGTGCTTATCTCTGTGAAGGCCAGGCTCGTGCTAATGGAGATATTCAAGAGCCCTGTGCCCATCTTGTTAGCTACAGATTGACAGCCTGTAAGAGAGTAGTGG